TCTTATAATTTTTATTAATATAGAAATCAAAAACATAACTTTAAATAAAACACTTAAACTCATATCCGAATATAATTATGAGAATGAAAGCGGAAGCGTACCTGAATTTTTCATTGAGAATCAACGAAGATTTGTGGGTATTTGATCTTCAAATTTGTAGGGTTCTTTATGGCTCCTTGATTCTCCTCTAATGGGAATGAAGAGAGAACTCCTAATAAATCATTTTCTCGTTGTCTACAAATGGGAATCATAACCTCTATAAATAATCTTAAGGTTATTTCTTTGTATTCAATATTCTAATTTGGCCCCTCATCAAATTAGATATTGACTTATGGTATCTACACAATAACCTGGCTTTTCATGACATTTATACTTTTAGCCAAAAACTTAATATTATATTAATTAGACCCCTTTAAGTCTTGACTAATTAAAATAATGACACTTACACCTTAAATGTTACATTTGTGACCCAAAATTCTAACAATCTCTTACTGGTCACAAATGTAATCATATACATGTGTTAGACTTTATGAGCTCAAAATTCGCCATTATATTCCTTAAGCATATCCAAATTATCTCGTTCATTAATCATGTCACTATTCAAAACCAAATTGATTTTCGTTATAACAATCATAACTAAACCCATCAATGATCACTAATAGTAACACAACTAAATGACATAGATCCATCATGAAATGTGTAGCATGAAAATCACATGAAATTGGTCTGTATAAGTCGATTTTCAACTGGTCCTACTTTACTTTAGTGAGATCACTCAATAACTTTATTGTACAAAATTTAAAATGTTGAATATCAAACCTTATTAATTTAGAAAATATCCAAAATTATAGTATGCATATATATATTACCGAAACATAAAACATAAAAATCATAATCGACTAACTCCTACTAAACCAAAGACTCCTTTAAAGGTATAACACCCATGCAAGCAGTGTGCTCATGAAAGACCTTGGATGGAAGACCTTTTGTAAGAGGGTATGCTATCATGGAGTTTGTCCCCAAGTGTTCTATAGAAATCTGTCCACTTTGTACCCTTTTATTTAACAACTAGGAACCTGATGTCAATATGATTTGACTTGGTCGAACTCCTATTACTATTACAGGACGACTAATCAATTGTCACAATATAATTTAAGTGATCTTTCAATTCTTTCCATAATTCGTAGCTCAGTGACAATATTCTTCAGTCAAATCCCATGGTTGGATGCCTCATAACATGCTATAAACTATATTGCCATGGTGGATGAAGCCGTAAGAGTTTTCTTGGCATTGCGCAAAGAAACTACACCACCAGCCAACATGTATATATAGCCGGAAGTGGATCTTTTTCTATCTTGGCATCCAGTAAAATCTGAGTCAGAGTATCCAGTGATCTCTAACTGATCTGACCTTCTATATGTGAGCATATAGTCTTTTGTTCTCTTTAAATACCTTATAAACTTTTGGATGCTTTCCAATGATCCATTCCTGGATTGCTCAAATATATGCCTAGCAACCATTGAAGAATATCGTCTTGACATCAATTTGATGGAGTTCCAGATCATGATGTGCAACAAGAGCCATGATTATTCTAAAAGAGTATTTCAATGAAACTAGAGAGAAAGTCTCTTTAAAGTCAATCACTTTCTTTTGAGTATAACCTCTAACCATAAGATGAACTTTATACTTTTCCATATTACCGTTAGAATCTCGTTTGGTCTTAAAAATCTATTTGCAACTAATGGCTTTCACACCTTCTAGTAATGGGATAAATTCTCAAACTTTATACTTTTCCTTCATTTCTTCAATCCACTTACCATTATTTTTCTCATGTTCTTGAAGAAATACTATGTAGTCATCAGGAATAGCATTTCTCCTTTCTCTAATGGATCTCTGTAAAGGTATTGGTTCTTGTAACACTTGTTCTTGAAGATTTTGAGTTTGTTTTTCATGAATTACCAAATCATCTTGAGTAGGAGGAAAATCAACAATGTCTCGTGGAGGTTCCATACTTGTTTGATCAAAAGCAACTGTATGAATCGATTCTTGAAATGTTACCAATTCTTCCTCTAAAACAAAGTCGCTGGCCTTATTCTTCCCCCAAAACTCAATATCCTCATAAATTAGGTTGTTCCAGCCTCAAAAATTAAATGTAATTTGGGATCATAAAAATTTGTAGCCCCTAGATCTTTAAGAATAACTAATAAAGTAGCTACTCATTGTTCGGGAGTCCAATTTCTTTTCATTTGGCCTATAAGGCCTTGCCTCAGTTGGACATCTCCACACATGAAAATATTTTAAACTAGGCTTTCGCCCAGTCCAAAGCTTGTAAGGTGTTTTGAGAGTTGCTTTTGTTGGTACTCTATTTTGAATGTAAGCTGAAGTCTTTAATGTCTCTCCCCAGAGTGACTCTGAAAAGATAGAATGACAAATCATACTCCTTACAATATCCTTAAAAGTCTGGTTTCGTCTTTCAGCAACACCGTTCATGCTAGGCGATCCTGACATGGTGTACTTTGGGACAATTCCACATTCAAGAATTCACCATAGGAAGCTATTATGTCAAGCAAATATAGATTATCATGGCTCATAAAGTGAACCAGTTCCAGCAATATATGAATTGAAAGACAACTTGAACATATTGTTTCCAAATGAACAAAAATAACCTAATTTGTCCAAATAAGAAACTGAAATTAAATTTCGTCTAAATTATGGAACCACAAAAGTGTCTTTCAAATTAAAATAAAATTTGGTACACAGTAATAATCTAAAATGTCTTATAGCTTCTACCTTCACCGACTTTCCATCTCCCACATAGATGTATCTTTCAACATCATTTGGCTTTAGGTGGTTTAGGCAACCCTTCATTGAAACACTGATGTTAGTAGTTGCACCAAAGCCTAACCACCAAGTGTTTCCAGGTACTGGATCTAAATTGACCTCAAAACAAACCAAAACATGACTCATGCGATTGTAGAGATCCCCTTTCTCATAATATTTCCTCTATTCATAGGAACCAAATTCCGAAGGAGAAGGTGGTTGCTTCATCTTTAATGCAAGGTCAAAATCGGTGCAGCCAAGAACAATTTTCATGTTCTCATTTTATTCCTTAAAATTTGTCCCATTAAGGACCCATACCTTTTTCTTAAAATTTGCACATATTGAAGCAATTGTAGTTGAAAAATGAGAACAAAATTAAACATTTTAAATATACTCACATAAAAGAAAATTGAATTATCAATTTGTTCAAATAAAGACATAACCCATCTCAAGATACCTAGTGCACCATCAATATTGAGTCTTTGGACACTAATATTAATTGTTAGTGGTACTCTTGTTGTAACGATCAAACATTAATAATAAAAACATGTAGAATATAAATCTCTCTTTGGATTGATTTATTATTCACATGTAAGACCTTATAATAATCACATATTTATCATCACATGTACATATGAAAATTGGCCAACCACCAACTGTCATTTGGATCAATTGATACTCGCATAAACAAACATATATACAACCAGAAAATTATTTAACATTTTTCATAAACAATTTCCATAAAAGATGTCACTTTAGTGAGTCTTTCATTTCAATTTCTCACTTAAAATGTTAAATCTATAATATAAGAAAACTCATTCTACCCATTCTGACAATTTTGTCCTTTTATTCCAAAAACACTCCATGTGGCTACCTTCATTGCTCTCTATTTCAAATTTTCATATTCTTTTACACACTTCCACGATGCATTTGTTTTCCTGCCTCTCAAACAATCCTATCCATATCAATTTTGTAACTGCTGTCTGTAACTCAATTTTGTAACTGTTGTCTGTAGCGATAAAAATGTAGCGGGGTAAATCAGAGATCGAGCTATTAATTAACTCAACTCATAAAAAGCAAGAGTCGCCACCGTACATTATTATTTCCAAGGGAAATGGAAAAGAGCGAAATAAAACCCTAAAATATGCAATGTAAAATAATACTTAAAAGTAATGAAAATACAATGCATTTTGAAAAGAGATTTAGAGTTCGGGGGTTGGTTATGCAATGAGAAGGTATTATCACTCAATGCATCTATAGTATCCTATAGGAACCTTTTGAAATATCTGTTTATTAAAATTGTTTGTTTGATTAAAATGGTTTGTTTGGCTAAAATAGGTGTGGACAAGATTTTGAAGATACGACGACCTAGTGTCGAAGTTTTGACTTAAAAGGTGTGAATTTTAAAATGGAGTCTTTTAGGAAAATTATCTTAAGTTTAGCAAAATAGTAAACAAACAAAAGATGAATGAGGGTATTCGCACGATTGGATGAGATGTATTTGATGACTTGAAGTCAACAAAGTTAAAACATTTTCCTTGGAATTGAGACGGGCGAAAGATAAAGATTAAACGATCAAGAATAAAGTTAATTATAGCGACAATGGAACAATTGAATAAACAGCAAAAATAGAAGACTAATTTATATTAGCATGCATTTTGAATAATTAAATAAACAGCAAAAATTAAATAAAAACATGTATTTGAATAATTAAAAATAACAAACATTAAGTAGAAGATTTAATTTATAAAACATGTAAATAAATAATGAAAATTTAAACAAAATATTAATTTATAACATGTATTCTAAGCAATTTAAATAACAAGAAAAATTAAATGAAAGATTAATAGCATGACAAAAATTAAATAAAAGATAAATTTGAATTAAGCATGTTTTGTATTTTTATGACATGTTCTTATGTTTATCAAAGAGAAATTATTTAGAAATCTAATTAAAATTAACATGAGAGTATTCTAAGATTAATTAGCTAATTATTAACTAAAACTAATCAAAATATTTTAAACTTCCAACCTAAATAAAAAAATTATAAGGAAAAGAAAGAAAAGAAAAAAAATTTATTGGTTCAAGTAGGCGGGTCAATCCAAAAATAAAAATAAGAAACCCCTATAACACCTAAAGGAGCAGCCGCACATCACAATATTAGAAAAGGTCTACATTAAATTATTATTATTAATTCAATTAAAAGCATAATTGGAACAACAGCAACAAAACTCGATGTACTCCTATCTTCATCTTCTTCTTACTTCACAATACTTCATTCTTATGAAACAACGACAACACTTCTCACCCCATCATCTCCTCCTAAAGTCGTCTATCTCTCTCGCGGTAACAACAATAACATCAATTGAAGTCTCCCACTCAGTTCAATTTCACATGTTTTATAGAATAAGAGCAAAAGAATTTATAAATTTTAGGTTTTTCTAACTCTGTTCTTTTCTGATTTTGGCCATAGGCTTGCGATTTTGTTGTAAGAGAGACGGTTTTGACGCGTGTGGAGGTGGTGCATTTAATGGAGATGGGTTTGAAGGGAGATACGGGTATGACAACGAGGTTGAAGCCGTAACAAAAATGAGATCACCGGGAAAGGTACACTCTAATCTTTTTAATTACTCTGAGTTTCCATGTGTTTCTTGCTTCTGTTTTTACGAACAGTGCTCTACCTGGTGGTGTTGATGCAAAGATGTGAATCAAGGGAAAGAAGAGCGTTGATGTGATGTTTGAAGGTGATGAAAGGACGAACGTGCGGCAGAAAATGATGATATTCCCTAAAGTTGTTTGAAAGTTAATGAGTTACAGGCTTGAGCTCGAAGATTGGAGTAGAGGGTGGTGAGTTTACAACTCAGGGAGAGTTTAAATGAACTTCGTTTAATGAAACCTGGAAAATGAGTCGTGTAACTCTGTGAATATTTTCCTCTGAGTTTTCCTCTGCATTTCTATAGGAAATAGTGTATGAGTTTTGTTTTGGTGTGGTTGATAGGTTCTGAACAGATGTTGAAGAGTGATGTTGTTGAAGGTATTGATTTGAAGGTAAGGATGTGAGGGTCAGTTTCTGAAGAGGTAGTGATTTGTAATTTTTTTTGTGGTTCTGTATTACAAACTTCAGGCTGCTAGAAAGAATAGGTTTCAAATTGGTGATTGAAAGTTTTTTCTGTATAAAAATTTGAGAAGTGGTTAATTGGGTTTTGGAACAGAAACAGAACTTTGCCAATAGTATTTTGTATGATATTATGGCTTCTTCTTCTCTTCTACTGTGAATTGGAGTGGAAATATTTTTGCGTGTTATGTTAACGGAACTGAAAGTATTTTTGTGGTTCCTGTAAAATTTTTTGATATTTTATGTTGTGTTAACAGGTTTTAATGTTTTGTTAACAGGTTTTAGAGTTTTGTTAACAGGTTTTAAAGTTTTGTTAACAGGTTTTAACCTATAGGTATATAACATATGTCCTATGCTTTTTTCTAACAGATTGCAATTTATCTCCTTCCTTTTGTGTTGTTCCTCCCATTTTGTTCATGAAGAGGCCTCTATTTATAGTGAAATATGTGGGGTTTTAGGGGGGGGGGGGGGGGGGGGGTAGTAGAGATTTGAACTATTTTAGGCTCTGTTTTAATGTTTTATGAGACAGCTTTTTGTAGTGTACATTTTAGTGCAATGTTTGGAGTTTTGTAGACTGGTTTTTGTAGCAGCAAAGGTGCAGATTTTTGTCTTATGGACTGCATTTTGGACTGTTTTGCATGGCAGATTAGGGGGGGGGGGGGATAGTAGAGATTTGAACTATTTTAGGCTCTGTTTTAATGTTTTATGAGACAACTTTTTGTAGTGTACATTTTAGTGCAATGTTTGGAGTTTTGTAGACTGGTTTTTGTAGCAGCAAAGGTGCAGATTTTTGTCTTATGGACTGCATTTTGGACTGTTTTGCATGGCAGATTAGGACAGCAACTTGGCATGGTTTTTGTTGAAACAAGGTTGGAGAAAATGGACAGCATTACACTCAAGAATTGGACTGTTATTGGATTAAAATAGTGCTGGAAAAATGGGCAGCATTGGGTATTTTGCAGCAAGAACAATAGCTTGGTTTTCATGCACAAAATTTGAATTTCTTTTGTAACTTTGTAACAATAAATCCAAGTAAATTGTAACATGAATGAATATGTATTCTTCAATATATTCTCAAGTCCCTTGTAATTGTAAATAACTTTGAATTTTCATTTGAAATTGAATCTTGATATGTCTTGATAAAAATTCAAGGTCTTCTATTTGAATTGGGAAAGAATTGAATAGTACTTGAATAAATTGTTGAATGATGAATAAATGATAATGCAAGCCTTAGACTTTAATCTTGCATTTTGTAATAGAGATCCAAATAAATCACATGAATTGATTTTGTAATCAAATAGCAACCCTCATGTAATTAACCTTGTGATGAACGATTACTTGAATCGAATTTCTTTTTCTAATATCTCCTTAATAAATGCTTCATGTGTATTCAAATAACCATAATGTAAATCCACCAAAATAATCACACAAAATATTCTTGAATAAATATTTCATGCGATAAACGATTATTCTTGAATGAGATCTCTTGGTAGTTCCTCTTTAATTATCGCTTGAATTCAAATAAAGAAAATTCCAAGTATTCCAAATAAATTCTTCTAGAACGGTTTTGAATTTAATCATCTCATTTTGACGAAATTCAACCCGCGTCATGAGAAAACTTGCATATGACTTTTGGTCGAAGTGATCGGAAATGACTGGCATAGCTTGGTTTTCTTGTATTTTAAAGCAATGTGAAACACACATGAACCAATGGCAATAGAACTTCGACTATTCTTTCTGAAAAATTTCAGAGACACTTGAGACCATCTGTTGGACAGAGTGTGGAAATAAACACACGATTCTCTGAAATTCTTTTGATGAACCAGCCTTTGAGGATCAACGATCGGCCGTATTTCTGTCCCGAGACTCGAAACCCTAATTGATGTGCGACGTCCGATGCTTTTTCTTTCAGACCTATTTCCTGCACATGAAATCAAAAAACAAAACATACACTTCGTGCTTGATTAGTGGTTAGTCATTCATAAGATAAAATACTCACAACACTTGATAATCTCTACACAGTCAAAGCTCGAAGGCAAGACGTTCAAAACCTACCATATTCTGTGATCTTGATGTATATATAAAACAATGCAAATGAAGCAGGGATCTTAGGTCAAAAATTGGGGTGTGACATTGTCCATACAAAATTTTCCACTACTTCATTCATTCAATCTCCCCTAATATTATTCCTTTGATTTCCCCTCCTTAAGGATTTCAATTCAACTATGAACGTCGAAGACTATGAACCAAAACCTAACCAATCTCCTCCACATGCCTCTGATTCACAGTCCAATGTCGACGGCGATGTTTCAAATTTCCCCAACATCGGAGACCTTGAGACCGCGGTTGCAGTTAACCACATAATAGTTCAAGTCCTTCCATCTCAATTTCACCCCTAAAAACCCTACAACTTTGAAACTGAAAAACTCTTCAATATTACCTTCCTTCCACATCGTAATTAACCCACCTGTCTTGCCAACCGCACTAGCATAAGACCAGTCTACCTTATGTTTACTCCAAATCTTTTCCCCTACATTTGACTCCACATTGTCTCTAAACCTAGTGTTGTAATGAATCACGTCTGAGTCAGATATTGGATCACTACACAGTATGACTCCTGCATAGAATCTATCATCTTCCAACTTGTTGTCCTTCAAGGTTTTGGAAATCAGAATTTGTTCCATCAGATCAATGGACTCGGAATCTCAAGTAAAGTCCAAAGACCACTAGGGTCGTAAGGCTTTACCGCCCTTTTCTTGGGCCTACATTTTTTGTTTGATAATTGTCCCCCTTATTTCATAAATACTTCTAGCTTTTATAACTTTCCTTTTTTTACTTTATTTAACCTTAGGTAAAAGAGAATTACAATCATCTTTGATGACATTTGGATAAAAAAAGTATCTATTGTACAACTTACTCTAGGAGAAATAGTACCAGCCTTTGGAGGACCACAACCTTTCTGCCTTGGCTGAACAACCACGAGGAAGGGAAGACCAATGGTGAATTGTGCTTCAGGTGTAGTAGTTGGACAATAAGGAGATATACAACGAGGATTGTTGGGCACAGAAGATGCAACAACAATAACATCATCTACTGAAAATGCAATAACAACAACAAGATTTTATGATGAAAATGATGCATCAAATGCAAAGTAATCAACAACAATCTCCTCACCCTCCACTACAAGCTGCGGGAAACCCGTCCTTTTAATAATTTTATAAGATGAATACGCCAGAACTTGCTGGGAGTAATGATCTATTAGATTCACAAGGCTGACTAAAAGGAATATATTAGATCTTCAAGGTGGCCCCATGTTTAGATGAAGAGAACATGGTCTTTTCTACCCATATCTTGCGAGGAGAATGAGAGGGTGGTGGGACAATGCTAGAGGAATTGGTTGAAAGTTTATATAGAATTATTTCCAAGATGTTGGCTTCTAGGTTGAAGAGGGTCATGGGTAAGTTGATATCTCAATGTCAAGCAACTTTTGTATTTCAAAGACAAACATTGGTGTTTTAGTTTCTAAGAGTTATATATACAAAAAAAAAATTTAAGATATTCTTGTTTCTTTATTTGTTAGTGAGATTCATTATAAAAAATTAGAAGTACATAGAAAAATAATTAGAAGATTATACTATGAATCCATTACTTTGTTCATATATATTTTTTAATTACTAAACAGTTTATTATTATTAGAGAGGTTAATTAAGTCTAATTAATTATAAATAGTATATATTTTGTATAAAGTTAAGAATATAGTACATGTTGTGTATAATTAGTCATTCTTTTTCATTAGAGAAATTGTCTATTTAGAAACCTCCGTATAATTAGTCATTCTTTTTCATAGATAGAAATTCTTAACTCACTTTATTATGCTTATTAGTTTCGTTGCATGTTTATTTTGGAATATTTTGTGACATGTTGTACTTTGATAGATTATCGATTTATTCTTATGTTATCTAATGTATTTATGTCGGATTTAGGTACTATTGATGTATCATTACCAGTATGTTTAATACTTCAATTGATAATTCTAGGCATTATCATTAGGGTATTACATTTGGTATTATAGCAGGTGATTCTAGACCTAGTCTTGGGACAACAAGAGTAAAGCATTAAAATTATCATGGGTGTTACATGTATGATTCTTACTATCATGATTCTTAATATTCAGCTTGATTAGGTTGAATAATAAAGGTATAAGGACAATATGTTAAACAAAGCCATTGAGATTGCCTTGGATTGTTATTTTTGAAACTAATGTTTGAAACTAACAAACTGAGTTTGGATAAGTTGATTAACGAAAACGACAATCCTAGAACCCCCTTGAGGAACGCTAGGTAACATAGTTCGGAGGAAGATGAAGAGGTTCAGAGAGCTAAGGGTTTCAGTCTCTCTAAGAGAGATCAATACTGTAGCTTACCATAATAAAGAAAAAATCTCTGAAAATGTCATATAGATAAAGGAAACTCCTAAATATATTCAAGCCAAATCCCTTTAAAATTTCAGCCCAATTTATCCATGCTTGTCATTTTAGTTTAAAAAAAATATATAACAAATACCTTTATTATTTTTTATT